GGGGAATGTAATCAGTCTTTGCTCTGGGTGGCCTTTTGTCCAGCTAAAAATTGGGGTTTTTATCACTGTAGTGGAAGGGAACAAGTTTGGGGAAGCAGTCTCTGCCACATCAAGTAAATGAAGAGTATTTCACACTCATTTGATTGAAAACAAAATTAAACTTTTGAGAACAAGTGTTGGCAATGATGTGGAGCAAAGAGAATTCTCACATGCAGCTTGTGAAGCATTCGATCAGTTTGGAAAACAGCTTGACAATATCGAGTAAGGTTGAAGACTTGCTACTCTCTGAGGAAGCATTCTGTTTCTGGGATGTACTATAAGGAAACTCTTCCACATGTGCACAAGTGGACGTGTACAAGAATGAGTTCAATATTATTTGAATTATCAAAATAATTGGAAAATTTTTAATGTCCATTAACAGGCGAATGGATCAATTGTGGTATAGTCATATGATGGAATTTTACACAAGAGTGAAAATGAAGAGCTACATGTATCATCAATGGATAAATCTTAAAATATAATGTTAAGGCACAAAAGCAAGTTGTGGAAGGATATGTGCAATATGCTATTTAATAAAGTTTTTAAAATGCCAAACACCTCTCTATATATTGTTTACAGAAATATATATACTGTATTTGGGGGGATCTGACAAGAAGACCCCCTTTTCCTGCCTAATATCTGAACTAGTTGAGAAGTCAATCACAAGTCAGTAGATGAAAAACAAAATATCACCTTCATTACTAACAAAGGATAGCTTGAATGCTATAGGTTTATATGAGAACTGAAATGGACTTGCTAACTCCCTACTGCCAGTGTAGACTTTAGAGCAGTTTGCCTGTAGGAAAGTTTGCAGAGCAAATTAAATCTCTTACCTTCAGGACCTAATATTTGAATAGACCCACCTAGCCCAAAACCCAGAACCAATAACTGTCACTCACCAATCAAGAGTGGGCAAAGATCCAGGAGAGGTTAAGTAAAATCTCTCCTTAAGGAACCAGAGGAATGGGTTAGAGGTATCCTAAGACATATGAGTTTAAAAATATTCATGGGGATTGTAAGAACCAAATTCAACCTAGTCCTTACTCCTAAGGCAGTGGTTCCTCACTCTAGTTTGTATCAGAATCACCTGGAGGGCTTATTAAAACATGGATGGCTCAACCCCACCCTTAGAGTTTCTGATTCAGTCAACCTGGGATGGGGCCCAAGAATTGGCATTTCTGCCTGGTCAGGGTGGCTCAGTAGTTGAGTGTTGACCTATGAATCAGGAGGTCATGGTTCGATTCCTGGTCAGGGCACATGCCCAGGGTTTCGGACTCAGTCCCCAGTAGAGGGCATGCAGGAGGCAGCTGATCAATGATTCTCATCATTGATGTTTCTTTATCTTTCTCCCTTCCCTTCCTCTCTGAAATCAAAAATATTAAAAAAAAAAAAAAGAAAGAAAAGAAAAGAATTGGCATTTCTGACAAGTTCACAGTTGATGCTGATGGTGTTGGCATGACCACACTTTGAAAATCATTGCCTTAGGGTGAGGTGAAGAAATAGTATCAAGGAAAGGTAAGCAGAAAGATCTAATTATATTTTCAGTGTTTTATTTATTACTAGAAGCCCGGTGCACAAATTCGTGCACCAGTGGGGTCCCCCGGTCTGGCCTGCAGGATCAGGCTGAAACCAGCTCTCCGACATCCCCTGAGGGGTCCAGGATTGCGAGAGGGTGCATGCCAGGCCGAAGGACCCCACCAGTGCACGATCGGGGCCGGGGAGGGACGCAGGAGGTTGGCCAGCCTGAGTGGGACCACGGGAGGGCTCCAAGGCATGTCCGGCCCATCTCCCTCAGTCCTGATCGGCGGGACCCCAGCAGCAAGCTAACCTACTGGTTGGAGTATCTGCCACCTGGTGGTCAGTGCACATCATAGCGAGCGGCTGAGCAGCCTTAGCATATCATTAGCATATTATGCTTTGATTGGTTGAACGGATGACCGGACACTTAGGATATTAGGCTTTCATTATATAGGATGACCGGACACTTAGGATATTAGGCTTTCATTATATAGGATTTTTTGGTTATCCTCACTCAAGGATATTTTTTCCATTGATTTTTAGAGAGAGTGGAAGGGAGGGAGAGAAAGAGAGAGAGAGGGATAAGAAGAGAGACATCAATGTGAGAGAGACACATCAATTAGTGACCTCCTGCATACGCATATGCCGGAGGCAACCTTTGACCGGGAATCAAATTTATGACCCTTCAGTGCTCCGACTAATGCCCCAACCACTGAGCCATGCCGACCAGGGCAGTATTTTACTTCTTGAGCTAAGTAGTGAGTGTTATTATTTTCTACATTATCTTTTTAAATCAAAGTAATGAAATATTTTCACATACAAAAGTAATGATAGAGTATATAAAACTCTGGAAAATGCCACCTTAATACTTACAAATCATCTGATTACTCAGACTGTAGAGGAGTAACATGTTAAATTCAGATTGATTTGGAATAAGTATGTTAAATACGTTTTTATAGGTTAAATGATTAACAATGTGGAGCAATAATTGTTACTACTTGTTACAATTTTGTAGGTCTTTCAAATTGTTTCTATACTTACTCAAATCACTTTTAATCAGAAATTTTTATCGTGTTTCCCAATAAATTCTTTAGCTTAACATACTAAAACCTACTCTGTTAAAAAAATTTAATGTTTTGCTTTGTTTTATTTTATTACTTATTTTTATTGTGATACAAGTGACATATAACATTATATTAGTTTTCAGTATACAACAAAATGATTTGATATTTCTATATATTGCAAAATGATTACCACAATAAGTACTTAATATTCATCACCACATATCATTATAAAATTTAGTTTTCTTGTGATGAGAACTTTTAAGATCTACTCTCTTAGCCACTTTCAGATAGGCAATACAATATTATTTTTTTTAAAATATATTTTATTGATATTTTACAGAGAGGAAGGGAGAGAGATAGAGAGCTAGAAACATCGATGAGAGAGAAACATTGATCAGCCGCCTCCTGCACATCTCCTACTGGGGATGTGCCCACAACCCAGGTACATGCCCTCAACTGGAATCGAACCTGGGACCTTTCAGTCCGCAGGCCGACGCTCTATCCACTGAGTCAAACCAGTTTCGGCACAATACAATATTATTAACTGTAGTCACCAAGCTGTACCTACTTTGTTTTACATGTAACTTATATTTCATGTGAAATTGAGCATTTTGCATTCTCAGGACCAGAGAATATGCGTTTCTTTTAGTTTTCTGGAAACTCCTCCCTTTTAATTTTAATTTGATCTGGTGAAGAATTTATGTTTCTCTTTGTTTTTTGACTAACAGCTTTTTAAAACTCCCCTTATCTTACTGACTGAATTATAACATGCTCAGCTATACAGATAAAAAATGGTTTACCTTTGAATATTTTATGAGCTCTAGAATTTAAGTGGCATGCAAGTTTATATAGCAATTCATGTATTAAAATTAAGTATAGAATATATTTTTCTATCAGTTAGCCATTCACAAAAAATTTTTAGGAGCATTACAACCAAATGATGGCCACTTGCATGGGAGTTAAAAGGTAAGTCCTTGGTGGGCATATGTTATATCCTGCACATTCCAGCAGCATCTACCAACCCCAAGTAACCACAAGTCAAACTTTTGGATAAGTAGTAAAAATATACGTCAGTGCTGGAGAGTGTGTAGCTAGATGTTCCTTCTCATTCTTCTCTGCAGGAGTGTAATTAATACCATACCACCTTTCTGAAAAACAGTGTAGCAGAAGGTATCAAAAACTTTTAAAGTATTTTTACTCTTTACCTAAGGAATTCCTCTTTCAGGGCTACCCAAAGAAATGATCTGAAATGCCAACAAAGATTTGTGCACAAAATGCTCACAATATCATCACTTAAAATAAGGGGATGTTTAAAGTGATGCTATGATCTAAATATTCAATTATAAGAAAATAGTCAAGTCATTTATGGGTTATTATGCCATTAAATAGTATCTTTTACAATTACTTTTGAAAAACTTTATGAAATGAGAATGATCTTAAGTTATAGTTTAATATGAAATTTGAATATGTATACTGTGTATATTTATTGCCTTGTGTTTATAGTATGGGTTTAAATATATACGTAGAAAATGATCAAAGATTATCTTTTAATGATGGAATCATGCATGATTTTATTCTTTATACTTTTCTGTATTTAAGAAACTATGCAATAAAACTTTGTTTTAAAAAGATTCTTCTTGCCACATAAATATAGTGTCATGTAGTATGAAAGCTAAGTCCATATATACAGGGCATCCCCAAAAACTGTATACACACTTTAACAGCTGATAGCTCAATTTTTAAAATGAAATGTATTTTAATAAACACTGCCTTTAATTAGTCAAAGTGCCTTTATTTGGAGACACCCTATATTTTCTGACTTTCTAGTTCCAATTTTCACATAAAATGCTTTAGCTTATCTAACAAACAATTTAAAATATACTTAAACAAAAACACTATTTAAAGCTTTCATCACACCATTCAGAAATTTTGGTATCTTTTTAAAGCAAATTATTCCTCATAATAATGAATTTTGTATATAATTTATAGGTATCATTATAAATTTTGCTAGCATCATCCAATTAAAAATTTTATTGGGGTCTTTCTTAAATAGCCGTTTAAATACTTTATTGTGTAGATTGCCTAAAGCAGTGTTTCTCAACCATTTTTTTCATCATCACTTTCCTAAGGAGCCTTTGAAGACATTTTTCCCTAATTGCCCCCACCCCATGAAATTTTAATATCTGCTTATGTACTATATGTATATCTGTAGTTTATGTGTAGAGTAAGATGTTTTTTCACTCTTCCAAGAACCAATTTTCACCCCTTTGGTGGCGATATTAGCCCCCTTTGCGAATGTGTGGCCTAAAGGAACATTATGAAAAAAAGTTATATTAACTTTTAAAATGAGTCTCAAGCCCACATGTTTTGTTTTTATAGCTGCCTGCCTCTCAAACATCACATGGTGACCACTCCAACACTACTACTGTGGGGAGAGAAAGACGCATTTATGGAGGTTGAAATGGCTGAAGTCACAAAGATTTATGTTAAAAACTATTTCAGGCTAACTATTTTGTCAGAAGCCAGTCATTGGCTTCAGCAAGAACAACCTGACATAGTGAACAAATTGATATGGACATTTCTAAAAGAAGAAGCAAGAAAAAAAGATTGACTTTTCTATATCTGCTGTGAGAGGTCTGTAATAAAATCTCTAAATATATTTTTTAAATTGTTCATCAACTTCTGTGAGATTCACTAGGAAAACATTGTTTTCACATGCTTTATCATAAATAAATATCCTGACAAATATTACTGAAAAAAATCTGAGAATGTGTGTGAACTTGTAACATAATGTTGATTTTCCTCTATTGTGCTTTACACAGGAAATCACCTGCCTTAAAATGCACACACTTGTACAAAAAGAAAGTTGGGGAAAGTGGCTCAGTTTTGGTTTCTTGCATTCTTTTTCTTTTTTTAAAATATATTTTTATTGATTTCAGGGAGGAAGGGAGAGGGAGAGAGAGATAGAAATATCAATGATGAGAGAGAATCATTGATCGGCTGCCTCCTGCAACCCCACTACTGGGGATTGGGCCTGCAACCCGGGTATGTGCCCTTGACTGGAATCGAACCCAGGACCCTTCAGTCCACAGGCAGATGCTCTATCCACTGAGTGAAACCAGCTAGAGCAAGTTGCTTGCATTCTTTACCCTGTTAACATATGGTGCCTTTAACATATATATATATTAAAGATCAGTCATATTGCCCTAGCCAGTTTTGCTCAGTAGTTAGAGCATCAGCCTCCAGACTGAAGGGTCCCGGGTTTGATTCCAGTGAAGTGTACATATCTCGGTTGCAGGTTCGATCCCCAGCCCCGGCTGGGGCACCTGCGGGAGGCAACCAGTTGATATTTCTCTCTTGCATCAATGTTTCTCTCTCTCTGTGTCTCTTCCCATCCCTTCCATTTTCTTTCTAAAAAAATTAATGGAAAAAATATCCTCGGGTGAGGATTAACAACAACAAATAAATTAAAAAAAAGATTAGCCATATTAAAAGACAAACCTGCAATGGTATAAATTTTCATTTTGTTCAAAAGTTCTTTTAACTATTTTTTAACCATTAAAAAATTCTATTATCAAGTTTCTTCTATTTATAGTATATTTATTAGTTTGAAGGCAAATATGACTAGATGAATACTAGTATACACTCCTAAAACAGGCCGTAAAGTAGTGTTTACAAGAGATGCTATGAAGATTCTCATATACACACATATATATATTAAACATTGCAAAGTAGGAAAGCATATCCATTAAATTATTTGCCTTAATTCTCTAGCTAAATTGGTGAAGGATTTAGAAAAAGTATCCAAGTGTCCATTTGCCCCACTCCAGGCAACAAGAATTGAATGCTATCTTCCTCTGTGCACTAGAATCTAAGCTCCCCAGGGCAGAGACATTTTATTGTTTTATTAACTGACACATCCAGCATAAAAAGGGACTGGCTCATTGTAGGAACTCAGATACTTGCTTAATAAATAAATATCTGCCACACTGCTGGGCACTGTGGGAGAAATATAAAGGAAAGATGACATGGTAATATAGAACTTTCCCTTAAGAAGCATACACAGAATGCAGTTAAATTAAACAAGGGTTTAAGAATAGTGATGAAAATACAAATAAACGTGGGAAGAGTTACAGAATAGAGAACAATACCAGCTCGAGGGACTACTCATTCTCTTGGGTTGCTCTCCGTGGCAACGGAGACAACCACTGATGTTGCCAAGCCATGGCTCCTTAGAGACTGCATTTGTGTTCCCTTGGTGAAAGGAATGTTTCCCTCCCTAAGCATCGTTCTCATAGTGACAGAAGACAGAGGAATGTCCCTAAGAATTCTCATCATTGTATCCTAACAACTTGTATTTACTAATAAAAGCCCACTCTTGGAAAAAAGTATGGAGTTTCCTCAAAAAACTAAAAATGGAACTCCCATTTGACCCAGTGATCCCACTTCTAGGAATATATCCCAAGAAACTGAAAGGATATATGCACCCCGATGTTCATAGCGGCACAATTTGCCATAGCTAAGATTTGGAAACAGCCTAAGTGCCCATTAGCAGATGAGTGGATTAAAAACTGTGGTACAATGGAATACTATGCTGTGGTAAAAAAAGAAGTTCTTACCATTTGCAACAGCGCGGATGGAACTGGAGAGCATTATGCTAAGTGAAATAAGCCAGTCAGAGAAAGATTAATATCACATGATCTCACTCATTTGTGGAATATAATGAACAACATAAACTGATAAACAAAAACAGATCCAGAGGCAGAGAAGCATCGATCAGACTGCCAAACCTCAGAGGGAAGGTAGGGGAGGGTGGGGGTAAGAGGGAAAGATCAAGCATATAGGCCTAACCAATGGACACAGACAACAGGGGGGTGAGGGCATGAGTGGAAGGGATGGGGGTAATGTGGGGATAAGGACACATATGTAATAACTTAATCAATAAAGAAATTTAAAATTTTTTTTTAAAAAGCCCACTCTTCTCTATATATTATACTTGTGCCTTATAACAACATTTCCAGGTAGGGAGTATCAACAATTTACAGATGTCAAAATGAGGTTGGCCAATGACCACAGTGTTGGAACCAGGATCTGAACTAGATCCATCTGGTTGTAAAACCCATAATCTTTACACAGATCACATTCTGTTTAACAGGCTCTGGTGTACACATATATATAGGAAAGATGAGACATATTGCCCTAGCCAGTTTGGCTCCATGGTTAAAGCATTGGCCTGCAGATAGAAGGGTCATGGAGCAAACCTGGTATGCTCCAAGAAATAAAAAAATATCTCAGAAACCTTCAGTTCGACTTCTAATTCTAAGAAAAGGAATTTACCTTAGCAATTAGTGAACACAGGAATATTCAATATAGCGCTGCCAGCGTTGCAAATGCTGCAAAGTATAGAGAGAGCCTGATTCACATCAGCTTTGATCATGCTTCCCATTGATCATTCCCAAAAGACAGCAATAAAGGGAGGAGACAGGAGCATGTTGACTGTGGTTGGCGCAATGAAGTAATCCTGACTTATTTTAATGAAAACTTGTTACTGACAAAGGTAATCTTAAGGTTTGCCGTTGTTACTTATGTCTGTCTGAAATGCTGATTGGTTCATGCGGAATAATATTAAGAGTATGAATCAAACGTTCCATGGCTAATTCTGGCCTCTGATAATGGATATGGTCTAATTTTCAATGGATGTGGAAGAGTGTGTGTAAAAGATAAAGGCTCAAGGGTGCCACCAGTTAAACCTCTTGAACATAAAGAGATCGTACTGTTTCTGTAGAAATCAATTGTAGGGAGAGAAAATGAATTTAACTTACCAGTTGCCAAAGCATCTCACAGTAAAAACTGTCATTAAGATTCATATACTTAAATTCATATAGCCCTAGTAGCTATATACTATGTGCTTAATATAAACGTCAGCAATTGTTATATGAAAATAATTTATTAAGCATATATATAGATATATATATGAAGACGTTTACAAAAAGCAAAGAATATTGTCCCACTGATGATTCTAATCCTCCCGCTACATCATTTACCATTTAAAATTTTTCGAATTTCAAAGGTAATACATCATATCCTATTAACACACAATTGCCTTTAAGTTCTAATGCTGCGTGAGCAGAAAGAGCAGGAGGGGGAAGGCGTGCGCTCTGGGGGCCGACCCAGGTCCCAGCTGCCGGCCTCCTAAGGCCACCAAAAAGTCGGCCCCATGTCTCAGCGCTCCTCCTCGGACTGGGGGGTGGACGGGGCCTCCTACGACCCCTGAAGAGTCGGCCCCATGTCTCAGCGCTCCTCCTCGCACGTGGACGGGTGGGAGTCCGTCGGCCGTCTCTTAAGGAGCAAGTCCTTGTACCCGCCCGCGGTGGCCAACCCCTTCGTGCAGCGCACGCACATCAGCGCGTGGCGCTGGGCCTCCATCCTCCTCCTGGGGACCCTGCTGGTGGCGGTGCGGGTGTCCTGCCTGGCCGTCCTCTTCGTCTTCCTCTGGCCCGTGACCATGCTGTGCACCATAGGCCGCTCTGCTCGCCCAGGCAAGCCCGCCAAGAGTTGGAGAAGAAAACTGGTGCAACAACCCCTCAGGTTCTTGTTTCAGACGTGTTTCCTTGCCTCCGGCTTCCTGGTGAAAGTGAAAGGGAAAAAGGCAACCCGAAACGAGGCCCCCCTCTTGGTGACCGCACCGCACTCCACTTTCTTCGACGCCATCGCCTGTGTGGTGGCGGGGTTGCCCTCCGTGGTCTCTGCGAGTGAAAACGCACGGATCCCAGTGGCCGGGAAATTCCTGTTGTCAACGCAGCCGGTGCTTGTGGCTCGAGAGGACCCCAACTCCAGGAAGACTACCCGGGATGAAATCCAGAAGCGAGTGACCTCCAAAGGGGCGTGGCCACAGATCATGATTTTCCCAGAGGGAGTGTGTACCAATCGCTCGTGTCTGATCACTTTTAGGCTAGGGGCCTTCTCCCCAGGGGTGCCTGTGCAGCCAGTGCTGCTCAGGTACCCGAACAGCCTGGACACGGTGACCTGGACCTGGCAGGGCTTGACAGCCTTCCAGGTGTGTATGCTGACCCTGAGCCAGCTCTTCACCAGGGTAGAAGTGGAGTTTATGCCTGTGTACGTCCCGAGTGACCAGGAAAAAAAAGACCCCATCCTTTTTGCCAATGCAGTGCGGGTCAACATGGCCAATGCTCTGGGGGTGCCCGTGACAGACCACACGTACGAAGACTGCAAACTAATGATCAGCGCAGGCAACCTTCAACTACCCATGGAAGCTGGTTTGGTGGAATTTACAAAGATCAGCCGGAAGTTGAAGTTAGATTGGGATAGTATTCATCAGCATTTGGATGAATATGCTGCAATCGCAGTTGCCTCAAAAGGAGGGAAGATAGGAATTGAAGAATTTGCAAGTTTTTTAAATCTCCCAATTTCAGAGCCCTTCAGACAACTGTTTGCCCTCTTTGACAGGAATAACGACGGCAGCATAGACTTCAGAGAGTACGTGATAGGGCTGACTGTCCTGTGCAATCCTGCCAACACGGCCGAGATTCTGCGAATATCCTTTAAGCTTTTTGATCTTGATGAGGATGGCTTCATAACACAACCGGAGTTGGCTGCTATACTTCAGGCAGCTTTTGGGGTGCCTGACCTTGATGTTTCCAGTCTCTTTCAGGGAATAGCTAGACAGAACTCAGAACACATTTCATACAAGGACTTTATGAAATTTGCTTTGAAGCACCCAGAATATGCCATTCTATTTAATTCATATTTAGAACTCCAGGCAGCCTATATATACACATCACCACAAGAACAAGTTTAATCGCTGTATCTAAAGGTTTAAGTCAGCCCTGAAAATGGTGCGAGTACCCTCCAGGTAGACACTATGAAATAAAACTATTTCTTTGCGGAAAAACACAATCGTGTTTACTCTAAGTGGCCTAGGCACTTAATTATGATATTTAAATGTACTTAAGGGATATATATATATATATA